TTTTTACTTTCAATAAAACGCAGGACATTTATTCACCGGGAAAGCTACTACAAGCTTCTCAAGAAGGTCTCTGCGCCACGAAATTAGTTTACCAGACATTATATACTAACTTATAATTAGAGGTTGTTGCATATCTAAAAGACCCATATTCTGCATTTGGATTGTTTTATTGTTAGATATTAGCTTTAGTTACAGAGTAGAAGTCTTCTAATGTGACAGGTGCAATCAAACAACAACATTCCAGAGTTAGTTGGTGAGTTCGATAAACAATTAAGTTACTACTACACCACGGAGTACTTAAAAACTGTAATATTACCCCTAACGTTTACTAAATTCTCAGGTGTTCTCTCCTGTACTTGAAACCAGCCCACAATTAAAGCGAGTAAAGACGTGGATATGAATCAAAGGCTATAATAAACAGGTTCATCAGCTGGCTTATGTTCAAAGGAGTCACCAAGTCTTGAATTCTGTTTGGCCTGCGTCATTCTCTTTAGTAGAATTTTAGGCTAGCTTTCTGCTTACGAAGGTATAAGCGGTGCCTTCTTTAAACGAATTTTCTGAACACATATCTAAAATGAAACAGCTTAGGACAATCTACACTAGGCTTCTTTTCTTCCAAACGGAAGATAATATTTTGCTCAAAATATATTAGACATAACATAGTGTAGTGTTTATAAAAATAGACTAGGGCAATGTTCTTTCTAAACAGAATTGGCTGTCGAAAGTTTTTAACCGTAAGCACGTCTTAAACTTGGAAAAACATCCATAAGTTTGTCTGTGTCCAGGATTTGCCATAATGACTTAAAAATCTGAAGAAATATACAGGCTTATTTTTTCTATTTATAGTGTTAAAATTCTCACGTCTTTTTTCATATATAAAATAGGTTATATTGAGTAATTACCCACATTTACGAAACGGGAAGTATCTCAAAGAGGAAATTATTATAATTCCTTAAAACCCGTATTAGACAGGATTAGTCATGCTTAATTACACGTCATAAATTTCCCGGATCTCTTGATTAATCTTACATAAAACCGATATAGAAGTAAATGACAATGTTTTTCTGGGTTTTGGGTCGTATAGACTCATTGGTATATGCCAACGTTTCGGAGATATACACCGTCTCCAGGGCCGAAGTGGCGATACTGGGAAGTGGAGGGATTTACATCTCTGGCGTCTATCGGCGCCAAAACCCAGAAAAGCAACATAATTATCCCTTAACACCGTGAAATCCCGATAAACAAGTAGTTCTGTGCCAATTTTTGTTGTTGATTAGGCATACTAATAATGAAGAACTTAAGTAAATTAATGACATCACGATGTACATACAATCCTTCATGAGATGCTAATAGTCGCTCAGCTGATCAAAAAGTTATGAACCCCGAAATTCATTACCATGTTCACAGAAGCCCGCCAGAGGTTCCTATCCTGAACCAAACAATTCCAGTCCACGACTTTAAATCTATTTCTTACAGTATCACTTTAATATTATCATTCCACCCTCGTCTAGATCTCCAAAGTGGTCTCTTTCGTTCATACTGTCAGATAATTTATCACGCATTTCCCACCTCCATTTTGTTATTATGATGTTGCAAGGTATTTGCACACGAGCCAGCGTCAAATCGTATCACTGAAGTGACGTATACTTAAAACCACTCATCATCTGAACAATTTTATCGTGGCTAATTTCCGAATAAAACAACGAAATATAACAACCAGCAAATTGCAGAAGGATTTTGAGCAATCACATTCGGTTCGATACGGAGGTAAACGGGGAAGGTCAGTATAAATGTTAAAACTGATTTTGTCTGTCAACCACTTTCGGGGTGTCCTGTACCTCCTATTAGCTAATTAGCCAGCACAAACCGAAGGTTCAACACCGTTAATAGATCTGCCGACCAAGCTGAGTCTCTTCAATTTACCTCCCAACCTCACAACCTACGAGTTAAGAGCAATCTTAATGTTGTCCTCCCATCTCCTCATCCTCGGTGTTTCAAATGAAATTTCTCAACATATTTCCCACCCAAATTCTGTATTTATTCTTGTCTGTTCTAGCCCAGACACATGCCTAGTCCATCTAACCTCCTAGATTTCAATCCATTAAACAATATTCGGTGGTTAAACTGGGTAATAAATCAAGAATTATCTCATTACTTTCTCGCACAGTCTATGGCGAAGCTAGACGTTGTTGGAAGATGCCGCAAGTAGCTAAGGTTGGCGGCTACCCGGATTTATAGAGGACAAGAAGCTGAACACTTTGCAGTCTCAACTAAAATAATCGCGGGCCCCGCGAAGTGACAGTGGCAGTTCTGTGCGTGCATCTGTTTCTTCTCTAATTTCAAGTGCGTACAGTAACAACGCAGTCTTCTTGGCTACACGGTGTTTCAAAACAAACATGATACCCCAACGAAATATGGAGTGTAGTAATGAAAAGGAACACAATTTAATAATGAGAAGTATGTAAGAGTTTCATATTAATATATTTTATAGTTTTTAGCCCACAATACATAATTAAAATGCATCAACATTTACAATACTACACTTTTTATTCTAAAGACATTAGGTTTGAGACCAGTCAGACTGGCTGGTCTGTCTGCTAGCGGATTTTATCGACCAAGACATAGGTTAATGTTAAGGCAGGATATCAACGTACCAGTAGACCAATAATGAAGCTAAACCCTGGGTGTAATAATTGTGATCGGAGCTTCTTTGTGTTTGTGGGCAGCCTATTTTTACAGTATAATTTTACATTTTCTTATTATCTATGATTGACAAAACTGATCTTATGGGCTTATATAGCATTATTTGGCGGATTTTGGTTGCCCATTTACAAACGTTAACTCCATCTAACCACCCCAACCGACTAAAAAATGCCCCATAACGAGACGTCAAAGACAGTCAAGTCAGCTGACATTGGCGGTCATAAGGATTGTGCCATGATAGCAAAACCATTTGCCACAGAGTATTTTAATGCGATAAATGCAAAGAACTTGGGAATATATTGTACAGGCCTTATTTCGTATTCAATGCACGTTTCAGGATTGTAGTTTAAATAAACGCCACGCAGATAATGTTTGGCGTTATTTTGCACAGACTGCCAGTAGTGGAAAAAGGAGCATTATCTAAATGGTTGCTGTACTACTGAAGCGTCTTCGCACATCAGGCTTTAATTCGCGATATAGCTCTTCAGATTGTGATCCATAATTTACAGCACGCTGCGCCTTTGATCTTGGTTAGGGAATATGACGTAAGGTTTCGTAAATAAATAATTAACCTGCAACCTTTCTTCTTCAGCAGAATATCACGTCCCCGTTAAAGCGGTTGCTTGCAGATTTTTTAATTGAGCGTCTCATGGGATTGTCTCTGTCTTCGCGGTAAGGCATGCAACATTCTCAGCTTTTTTGATTGATGTCAGCTGGAGATACACTAAGACATCTGTTTACAGTCACGACATCAAATGATTAAACATGCGAAAGTCATTATGTTGCTGAAACAGTGACGTACTGGGCTTTCTTTTACGGTCAGATCTTAGTCATTAATTATTAATTGGGGCGAGCCGTTCATATTTCTTCTTTTCATTACAATTTCATTATACATCTTACACGTGGTAGACAGGCAGAAAAGGCGTAATATATTGTCTTAATTCGATCGTACTCAACAACAAAACTATGCACCTAGGAGTCTTCATGTACCAGGAGAGTTTAATAAAAACCATCAATATACTATGCACAGTAAAACTATGCGTTTTATTGCAGTTTAATACAAAATTGTCATCTATTATATGCGTCCGTAGACCTGAAGTAGACGCGCGCCCCAGAATTGTCGAGACAGAGCGACAAACCTATTGTTGTGAACAATGTTTCCACCGTCTCATTAAATAAAAACTATAGAAAAGATGTTCAAAATAAAGGTAGCAGATCCTGGTAACAGCCTATGTATGTCATTTTCCAACGTTTGTTCAATGACCACATTTTAAACATGGCTGAAGATGGAGGCAGTATGTTCTTCCTAAATACTATCTACCTACAACACCGCCAGGCGTTACAACCCGGAAGACATCAGCATTCCCTGTCTTGTCTATGTATTTTTGTGGGCGTGGCATGTTTTCGATCTCGATTCTTTCAGTCGCAGTCCGCAGTATCGACCATCGCACTCTCTCCTTAGTTTTGATTTGCCGATTCCGCTATGGGCAAATTCCCATTCGAGTATCCTAACCACACAAAAACATGCTTAATAGATGAAATTAACACACCGGTTTTGACTGCTGCTTGGCATTCAAGTCGGTAATTATTTAAAATGCCAGCTGTTGAAGGCGTACGGCTGAAGAACGTGGTTCGAACTTTTCAACTCACTGTACGCCGGGTCTGCATTATCAGACACAGAATATCTGAGTTTTCAGTAAATTATCAATAATTTCAAGCACAATCTCTCTCCACACAAATGCCCGAATTTGCCTGTTTTGTTGTCATTAAATCGGAATTGGGTAAATAGTTTCGTATAGTCCTAAGTTTCTGTTTAAAGAGGCCTGGAAATGTGCAATATTTTCTTATGGATATTAAGACTTTGAAATATCTTAATAACATATCTGCAATAGCATTTCAGATATCTATATTGGTCCCAATGTAATCTGTTTTCGCATAGACTTGACTAAAGCTGTTTCAAATTTGAAATTATTCTGCGTCAATAGCGAAATAAATTAGGGACAACAGACGGGAAAGAATTACAACGAACACGCGGAAAGCCCCAATTCAACTACGTCCTGCTATTTATTTTACGGAGGCTGGTCAAGTCTCGAAAAAGTTCAACTGTAGTACAGTCTCGGCAACAGAAGAGATGCCACTGCCTAATAACACAATGTTCCGTAATTAATGTAGAATATCAAGTGCATGGTACAGAACACTAACTAGCAAACTTCTGCTCTTTATTAACACACGGAAAATAGAAACATTAATGTTCTTAATTCAACGAAGTTGATTTAAGATCTGAAAAAAATACTAACCTGAAAAACATATAGACACATAACTTGTTTCCATTTTGGAGGCTCACGGTGCACAGCACTGCAACACACACTACTGTAACAAGATCTATTCGGCACCAACCAAAGCAAGCGACTGTCAGCGTACGAAACAATTTCAGTCTGCGCGCCGTCCAAAGGTGAACTATTCTGAACTCCTGATCGTCATAGAATAAGCTATACTGGAATGCAACTGCTCTCTGCCGAGATGCGTTCAGTAACTTACCTCCTCAATTCTTTTTCCCTGAAAACGGGGGAAATTGTTTACCATTTGGTTCCAGTGTTGCCTGCAGCGAAAATTATAAACGTTAGAACTTAGCATCCAAATTATAAATCGAACAGCCAAATTAGTGTAATATATATACTGGTATTATATAAAAGCAATTCACAGCTCAAGGCAACCTGTCATCTTCAAAATGTTAGACATTGGCCCACCTGCTTAAATATTACTACATAACTCAAATTTACCCCATCTACTAAAAAACAGAAATAACAGCAGTCATCTTTGCAAAGTTTATTCCATGGTTCAAGAAGAAGGATTACTAAACATAAAAGTTATAACTCTTCATTCTTTTATAAACAACAACCCACAGTGGGCTAGTCTTACATACTGTTTAAAAAAATGTCTGAATGTCAGACACTGTCAAGTTAATTTATATATATAAATGTATATATACTTATAAGCTACATGACCCATTTACATCTTACACAATAATTACATTTTTAAATATTATAATATCTCTTTGTTCAAGGATTACACAACAGCAATAAAGGAACTGACATAGAAATCTTAAGAAATTCCATTATTTTTCATTTCATCTCATTAAAATCATTTTAGATTTCTGGAAAATTAGAAAAACCCCATGCCTCAAAACCAAGATACCAGTTTGTTTCAAATATTTACACTCAGGTTTCTTACGACAAACTTCTTTTTGTCCTTTTTTGTCCAAAGTCTTCTAGTTACGTATCACACAAATGAATAATTAAAAATTCTAAGAGCTCTGAAGAATGAGACCCTAACATTACACCGTTTTACATCTTCCCAAAAGATAGCATAACAATTTGATTAGATAAGCTTGCACAGTATTCAAATACAACTTTCATCTTTCTCAAGTATAACATTTAATCTGAATGGAATGAACATTACAAAAAATATCCCACATTCCAAGAACATTGCACAAAGCAAAGTGATTTAGAAATGTTTGTAGACATTGTCACAAAGTGGACTATTTGTTACTCTCGTTTTCAGAATACCATACAATGCTAATTATAAACAAACATGGACATAGTAGACCTTAAAGCAGTGGTCCCCAACGTGGTGTCCGCCAAGGCTTTTTTGGCTGCCCGCGTTGTTAAGGAAAGAATAATGAAGGCTGTTCATCCACAAACATTACAAAATCAAAGCGCAGATCTCGACTTACTGACGCTCATCTTGACAATTGTTTGCGAGCATCATCATCATCCTACACTCCCAAATTTGAAAAACTGGCCAATGAAATGCAGCGCCAAACATCACACTAACTTCCCACTTGAGTAATAATAATTGTACTTATAAAACTACGTATTTTTGATTGCATGGTTTCTTGTATCATTAAACGCCGTGCTGTTTTGTGTATTATTTGGTGTCCATATCTTATTTGTCCAGAGAAAAGAAAATTTGGCTTTGTCAATTGGTTGGTGCCCGCCACGATCTCATAAACTCTGAAATGTGCCTGTAGGCATAAAAAGGTTGGGGACCACTGCCTTAAAGTATTAGTCAAGCCAAATCATCATCATACTCCCAAGTTGATAATAAGCTCCTTCAAGCACACAATGTCCTGCCACCTAACGCTCACATAAATTACTCACAACCACACACACACAAGGAGGAGAAGACACAAAGTCAGCGTTTAGAAAACTCCAAGCACAAAGCAGATACACATATAAATTTATTAATAGTCCATATAGTTTTCCTTGTTTCATTTTAGCAAAAATAATAATTAACAGTGGCAGGAAACAATACTTTGTAAGGAATATGGTATATTTAATATACTGATCTAAAATTTGCACAGTTCAAATTTAGCAAGCCCAAAGTGTTCCCAAATACAAAATACACACAACAGTCAAGAGTCATTACAAACATAAAAAAAACTGACATATATCTGAATAACAGGGTGCAAATAAACTCCCTTGTGACCAAGAGTTTGAGCACAATTTAAATCTAAGTAGTATACTTCAAAACGGTATGGAACTATACAGGATATAAAGGGTAGCATGGTACAAATAATGACTGAATTTGAAGACAATGACAGGATCTTCAAGTATATTATACTGAAAGAGTTTTTGGGTTCAGCAAAACAATAATACAAT